CTAAGTTCAAAGCTAAAACATGTGAATTTGGAGTTTATCAATCTTTTTCTGTTCTGCGCCACGCATTCTACATCATTTAAAATCGTAATGGCATTCTAAATGCCTCTTACGACTTAGACTATACAATCTCTTGTCCTATTCAATGTCTACGTGGGAGCCGACTCATTAATCACTTTCTATGCCCTCGCGTTTAAGTATTATCGAATTGAGAGAATGCGAGGCGTGGTTGGTCTAGGCGGGTCACGATCCATTCTTTGACCCTGATCGTAAGCGTGGTGAGCAGCGCCACATGCTGCTACTTCATATCTCCCCTTGCTACTTCTATTGTGATGAAATAAAAGAAACAGAATTAATTTTCAATTGAAGATGAGGAAATCAATCCTATATGGAACGGGTGCTTTTCTTTCATTCACATCTGTTCTTTTTTTTCAATTTTGATTTGGATATTGTGCCTAAAATCACTAAATTTAAGATGACGAAGGAACACTTGCGCGATGCCCGTGAGCGTGATGGAATCGCCTGCATTCCACATCCGTTACTTGTTGTGGACTGCGCGTTCCAAGTGGTCGTAACGAATTTGATGCCTGATTTGATAAGCGAGGAAGCGTTCAGTGAGGTACCGTGAGATGTTCTCAATACTCCTATATTTCTATTTTTTGTATGCGTTGAGCCGCTTCAAAAAACCACCTTCAGATTCGATCGAAAATCCTTAACGCTGTTGAGAGTGCTGACTGTCAGCATCATATTCGTTTCTTTCCACGTCTTTTTCATCGACGCATGGCAATTCAGTTGGTAGGCACTAGGTCTCACGAATAAAACTTTCTCAAAATCTAATTTTAGTTTGTCTAACATTTTAGATTGCTTTGCGTGTGCTGCGCTTAATGGAGATTGATCCCGAATGCGTGGATGTGAAACTTGCCAGCGATACCAAAGAAAATAGCGAAGCTGAGCCGGATACGAGTTCACTTTATTGCAGTCAGCCGAGTCTCCACTGGCCCGATATTATGACGCTGGAAAGGAGGAAGTCATGAGAACTTTTGAAAGGGTTGATTTGGTTTTACTTATAGTTTCATGCTTCTTTGTTTGCTTGCAATTCATCTATTTTCCTGAGGTATTTTGTGTGTTATTTCTCGAACAGGCACGGAATTCTGCTGCTTTCTTTGCGCAGACAGGTTTTGGACCTAATCAGATAGGTTCTACAACTCCCCACAGAATTTCGAATGGAGACCTGGGTAAATCGATATAGTTACGAATGCTGGTTACAATTGAAGAGACCGAAACTGCTACATGAACTTTCCAAATAAGTGTGAAGCAGATATGTTGGGGGCTGAAAATGAAGCGTAGGTTTAATTCAAACTTACAAGGGTTTCTTTCTTTCGCCTACAAGGGTAAATATGGAAGTGCTATGATTACGAATATGAGATTCTTTTTTGGCGCAAGGGTCTTATGATGCCACATCTACTTTCCTGCATTTCTTGCCAGCTTTTCCTGCTCAAAACATGCTGCAAAAGCAGCAGCTCTGGTCTCCATCTTGTGATCGGTATTCTTGACCGAATCAATTTCCTAGGTCTCAGTCCAAATTCCATGGCAAGTTGCAGGCTTATCTGGTGAGAGACGCGAGGTTGTCAGCAGTTTCAGAGGGATGTTGGAACATTTTAAGGGAAGTTTTGTTTTGTTTGTTTTTAAGGGAAGCATTAACAAAGCTGGGAAGAGACGTTTCTTCGTTGCCTAACGAGAGGCTGTTTTGATCTGGTTTGCGTTCCAATTTCCGTAAGGTGCACTACTACTAGTTCGCACTACAGCTATTCCAGGTAAATGAGGGGAGGGAACGGTCAGAGATCGATGGTTAATTCAAAAATCACGATCCATAGAAGTAACAAGAACCATTGTTTTTCTACTTACCAAGCAAAATTTCTCGAAGGTCTTTTCAAAGATTAAGGCGAGTATTGCTTACTTACAGTTGTTCAGAAGGACGTTTGTTCGGTAAAAAGTCCTTCTGAACAACTGTAAGCATTACATTCACCTTCTCTAACGGTACTTGGTCTTCACACTTTATACCAGGAAGTGACATTGCCTAAACTTGCCATTGCATTCATATTGCCCTTAGTCATTCCCGGTTATTGTATGTCCGCGTTTCCTTGGTGGTGTTCGTAGATATATTTTTTCTATGTAATTGGATTTCTTATCTTAGTCAGAATGCTCCTTATTATGTGTGATATCTACAACGGGTAGCAGAAACACTATAACAAAGAATATTGATATTTGTGTAAATTCTTACAATGATCACTTTATTATTCCTATTTTTATTTGTACAGTCTCCGAGACGTTTTCATTTTCACGAGTCCGACTAGCCGATCGTTTAGCTCATAAAACATTCAGTTTTTTCGTCAGTTGTTCCCAATTTAACAATTGCTAGGCTCTCTACCTTTGCATCGCACTCATTGCATTTAACTTACATCTAGATGTGCATATCTTGGAATAAAAGTGGGTTCCTCCTCTAGCAGTCGAATTTCGCATTCGTTGAATGAATCTTGCTAGTTTGTTCAAGTTTGTTTAACAGCTTTGTGATGTAGTCTCAATACCAGAGTTATGCTGTGCGTTTCACATACGCACGCCAAAACAGCAAATTTTCTCCCGCGCACACCTCATCACATGTAATTTCGTACTACCGAAACAAGTACGACCCCCCACCACAAACAACAAACTACGACCCCCCCGTTGGTACTTGTACCAACGTAGGGTTGACCCTGGGGGGGGACCACGCGGCGGCGCGGCATTTGCTCGCTGGCGCTCTCTCGAGCGAGATAGTGTAAACTCGAAGCATTCCAGCTTTTCACTCATGTCAAGCGACTGCCCGTCAAGTCACTGCCTAATATTTTGGACGGCTTGGCCTCAGTGCTGTCATTATTGTGCCTATGAATGTGCTTATGCTTTTGATGGGCATGGCTGCCTTTATTCAATAAAACGTGCTCTCCATCTGAATGAAGTAAGCATAATAAACATCTCCCTATTTCCTGCATTCAAAATTCTGCTCGAAATCTGTGAATCCCTTTCAGAGACTCTCTCGCGGTTCTATTTCCGCCCCATTTGAAATAGCCCTCAATCACATCTCTCAAGATTCGACAAATTGGTGGGCGCATGGTGAAAGAAATCACGGTGTTTCAAGTGCCCTGTACGTCTGGACAAATAATGCTTGAGCGCGGCACCACTGAGTCATCTCGTCTGCGGCGACACGGCGATGGACCCTTCGGACGCCACCCGCTCCATGCATGCAACTGCCCTCTTGATACGATTGCTCAATCCTTCCGACCTTTTTGATCAGAAGCTCGGATTCTATTATATTAAGCTAGAATGGTGTCACTCGATATAGCCGTATGTGGTCTTCGAGTTTGCTTAGTGAACCTCTGATGCTATCTTGTGTGAAATCGTTTATGACTCCATCTTTTCTCATTCTTTCCCACAGAGGTTTGTTCTTCGAAAATCCTAGAAAGATTTGCTCTTCGAAAGTGCCAAGTCTGCGTTCAAATCCCTGAACTAGTTCGGGTTATGTTACACGATGGTTTTCCTGACATTGCCGGACGTGGCCACTTAACGCTTTCTATCTGGACCAGCGGAGACGCGATGCCCACTCCACCGTGCATTTCTCTCTGTCCACTACTGCTCTGAGGTCGTCCTTCATCTTACGCAGCACTCGATGGGGAATTGCGTCAAAAAAAATTCGGCCATTTGACGGGAATACCGAGTTATGAACAAAATTCCTCGCCCTAAGCGGGACACGAACCCGCGTTCCATGCAGTGGCGCTACACGTTACGCTACCGGGTCACCATTTCATCCGAATTACCTCCCATGGTATATTTACCATGGAAATTAATAAAAAATACAAAACCAAAGAATGATAAGAAAAATTATAAAAATAAAAATTGTGTCTCGTGCATAACCCAATATTCTTGTGAAACTTTCACAAGGTGGAATGTGGCCAAAAAACAGCAGCAGTTAACAATCAATTACAAGTCAAAACCATTGCTAAAGTAAAACTACAGGAAAAGTTAAGCAGGTTAGTAGAGTTTGTTCAGCTTTCTCCGGTCCCTGGTTCTGACTTTCCTTCGACTACCCATTGCTTATTTGACGTTCCGGAACAGGCAATGGAAATTCAACATAGAGCCCTGTTGCGCAGCATAATCCGTTCGAGCTCGTTACCAGTTTTTTCGCAGGGCTGATGGCCATACCGGGTGGCCATTATCTCTGCACTGCCGCGTCCGTGAAATCTGATCCACTGAATTTTTATGGCATTTGACTCTTTTGGAAATCCTGTTCATCTGTTGTCATAGCCGGCTGATGCAGGTACTTTTTGATGGGTTTCAGTGCTGCATTTCGAGGAAAGCATGTCTATCTCGTAGATATACAAGAATTATCTAAGGTTGTTTTCTATTTCTTCACATATCACCTATTAAATTCCCCTGATCAAGTGCTGCCTCCTCCCCCACGGAGCCTCTTATGTAACACAGCAACGACCGTGGTATTATTGACTGCCCGCTTTTGCTAGCATGGTTTTATTGGGTTGACCCATAATTTCTGGCCGAATTTCAACACTTTGATTTATTCAAGTTTTATCTTTCCTAAAGAACAATTGATCAAAAACATAACCACCATCATAATCACTGATATGCACCCATTTGCTAGGGAACGAATGGATGCATTCCTCCCAGAACGAGAGAAGCTGTGAGATGAAAAGCTCGAAGAGGTCGTTTTTGGGGTGGTTGTATTTACTGACTTTTCCTCTCCTAGCTGCTGCTTCAGGGAGCTGAGGAGGTGATAGTACGATGGAGCAATGTAAGGGCTATACGACAGATGTGGTGTCGTGGTCCAGCCAGTTTCCTCGAAACGTGGCGAGTTATCTTTGCAATGTGATTTCGGGCGGTCCTCCGGATAAAGGAGATTTTGAGACTTTTCCAACCGTTCCTCCCGCACTGCTGCGGCCAACTTTGGAAGCTATTCCATGGTTACCTTCGCAATGCTTGTCTGCATAAAGTGAAATGGTTCTCAAAACGGGATACCCAGCGAATCCAACAAAACGGGGGTCACACCCTCTGATGAAACAGCTCGGGTTTTGGTTGATGTGCTGCGTCCAGGCTGCGAGGTAGCCACCGCGTGTTGTTATCGTAGGGGACTCATGACTCATCTGCACTGGTGACCAACTAGGGAATGTCTTGTCTATACGGTCGCAGAATGAAACTTCTGCAGATGGTCAGGCGTGCTTCTCGGTCATGGTCAGTCGATGCATGCTGTTTCCATCGAGGCTTCATTCTGCTACAGTCCATTCCATTCAGGTGTCGACTCATGGAGCGTAGGCTGATGTTTGCTACAGTTTCCTGCTAATAGCGTCGGATGCACTTCCTATTCGTTGCGCAAGGGTCCTCATCGAAAGTGACTGGGGTCCATGATGAGGTCGAACTTTGCAGCTCCTATCGCCTTTGCCGATGCTATTGAGCCAATAGCTCAGTGCCCGATCAGTAGCAAAGACTGGGGCAAACGTAGCGCTGATCTTGCCTACCGCGCTCCTTGCAAGGTTCTTCTTAAAATTGTCGCAAGGCAAAATCGTTGGGTTTGGTTGTTGATCTATTTTGATTCCTACTTAATTATCCCTTTGCGCACTTAAGCTTCTGAATCATCCTGGCTGAAGGTCCTGATGTGTTCTTCACCATATTAGCTTATTTCATCATAAAGCTAATTTGACATGAGGCATATTGAATTTGGACCAAAGTCGGCCAGAAATTATGGGTCAACCTAATAGATTAATCCCTCTTTGTGTCTACTCCAGATACAGCTACGCGCTTCCTTCTCAGTGAGTTCTTTCTGCTCTTTTGTTTCCAGTTTTCTTTAACACGTTGACGACACGCCCTTGTGCGCGAACCTACCCACCTTACTTTACAAATTTGCATTAACAGTTACTACATTACCAATAATTTCATTAGTGGTAACGAGAGAACTATTTTTCGTATCCAACAGTAGGAAGGGCCAGTCTTGAAGCAT